AAAACTCAGAAGCAGGACAATAAAACAGATAACAAACCCTCTTTTATTTTCCATCCTTTGGCCATTGATCTCCCATTTTATCTATTCTGAGAAACTCAGTCCCAGCAGTCCACATCAATGATGTTACTCATTCTCAAAGACTCAACCATACCACAGATCTTTCAACTCTTCATTTAAGTAAAATCTACAGAAATTTTCTCCAAAAACCATGTGCCACGCTCAGTTGGTTCAATGTTGTCAGTTGCGGTCTAAATGCAAATTTACTCCTAGGCCCAGTTATAGATGCTGGTCAGTCACTTTGTTTTTAGCCAAAAGAGAAAGCTTTGAAGAATGACCAGAAATCCAACCCTGAAATCTCAATAGCCTTGGGGCTCAGAGACTTAACACAAAGAAATATCATTGACTAAAACATGGCCTTGGTGAAGAGAGTACTGCCAAAATTCTGATTAATTACAGTTGTTGAAGAAGTTGCAGAAAAATGCACCATGCGGTCCCAGCTAATCACATACAGAGTAATATGCATGAGTCACCCTAGAGTCACTGGTGAATATAGGTCAAGTTCTCATAATTCAAAACAACATGAAGGACTATGAGAGATCACACTGCCATGAAGAATGCCGGACTGCCTCTGGATGGAGAGAGGATAATTCTTTCTGTTGTATAAAAGTGTCTCATAAAGTCTAAGTGTTAATTATGTTTTGATTTCCTTCCCCCCCCCCCAAGAAAGTTAAGTTTATAGTAACCTATTAAGGAAGGCTAAAAACTATGATTAGTATTTTTCCATAAGGTAAAAAAATATCATGTTAAAATATCAGGGATGTGAACAAAGACCATTGTCATAAAGGACCTACATGAGCAGGCAATAGTAACCCACATGGTCTCTTACAACAGGTAACCTTTGCTGGATCCCTAGCAGAGGGAAGGGCACCTTTAGAAATCACTTCAGAAAGATCTGCGACTCATCCTGTGGACAAGAATAATATTCCATGGATGTGGAAATACGGGACTCACGATAATGCTTAAAGAAGCAACAGACCCACAAGTAGTGGCTTGTTGTGTCTGCGGGTTCCTGTGTGAGGCAAAGGCTGTACGTGAAAGTAGATGTCTTGGAGTTGTTACAAACTTAAAGTCTCACTTTCTAGAACTTGGCCACCAACCTTGATCTCCTGCCATCTTCCAATCAGAAGCTTCACTTAAATGCTGAGTTTCCCATAAAGATAACCTGTAGTCATAGTTTACAGATAATTTCCTTGAAATATAGCTTTCCTGTTTCTCGATGTAGATTTTACAGGAATTGTGTTAGCCTGAAGGATGCTGTCTTTTTGTGTGTTCTGAGTGAATTCACATTGTTTAACCTGCCTGGGTTACAGCTAAGACTGTATTCTAACCTTGCTAAAACCAACTATTGTTAGTGTGTCCAGATAAAACCTCTCATTAAAAATAAGTGGATAATGATTTTAAGTGAAAATTTCTAATCAAGTGCTCTGCAGTGAGCTTGGCGTTTGCCTGACACGTTCTTTCTAACCAACACGTGAAATCATGACAACCGTGTGTTTCACTCCCAGTGGGAAGTTCCCATTCTCCCTCCTCTCTGACGAACAGAGATGGGGGGTGAGAAGGTTGGGGGAAGTAAACATAAAACTAATGATGTATGAAAATGCTGTAAGGACACATCTGAATTTGTATGCTAACTGAAAAAAATCAACTTTGAAATCAACATTTATATTACTGTGGCGCTGTCTGTGACGTCATACTGCTGGAATGACGTCTATTTAATATGAAGTTCATGTTGGGGATATTTGCCCACGTCTCACTTCTGTCAACAACCAAACAGCATGAAGAATGACACATGGGGGGTCCTAAAAGGGGGGCAGACCAGAAGAGACGCGCAGTTCCCATAGCACAGCTCAAAGCTCACAGCTAAAGAAAGCTGGCTTTCCCTGAAACTTTACACTAATCGGTGGAAAGCCGCGCACCTGTCTGGCTAATCGGCAGCCACTCTGAAGCCACCCACGGCCATCGGCCTTCTGCACACCCTGCACACCCCATCTGCCTCACGTGCTGCTACTAGCAGCCATCTGGGATTTTTTTCAGCATTTATTCACAGACGTGGAGCTATGGCTTTGAGCCGTGGTAAAGTGCTTTAGGACTGGTGAAATCGCACATGCAAGCCAAATGCCATTGAGTCCCACTCTTCAGTATCGAAATACAGCCTCTGGGTTATAATATTGTTCTGATGCACACATCAAAAATGGAAAATGCGTTGACAGATTAACCTGTTGTGTATCCCTGTGAAACAGTGCTTGAGTATGTGTTTCTTAGCCCATAAGAACCTTGAGCTAGTGGGGAGCCACAGCTTGTTGCTTTTATCCAGCAGGATAGAGTGGGTTACAGTATATTCCTATCCTAGGGGCAGGGAACATTTGCTGGACAGTTGTATAGTTTTCAATAAATTTAGTGAATGTTTATTGCTTTTCAGGGTAAGCCATTTTAAGTTAAGGACTGGTGGTACCGTGGCTTGATTAGAGGAGAAGGAAATAGTAGCTTCCAAACCCTAGTGTATACCAAAAAAACCCCAACAAAAGAAGACATATCAATAAAAATATAGATCCTCAGCTTACTGTTTTGTAACTGTAAGGTTCAAAGCATTTTATGAGTGCCACCCACTTTTAAAAGTAATAATGGTTTGATTATGAAGCCTGGCTCTGCACAAGAGTTGAACATTGAGATCAAAGAAAGGGGTGTGTTGGCTCTCCTTACTTTCCCATAACTCATGAATATTAAAATTTTCTAAAAATACACTGTCCTTGGAAATGTGAACTCTTTTGCAAATCTACTGTTATGTACGCTGTTATTTCTTATTTTCTATTAATGAAAGGACTATGAAAATCAGGTAGTTTTTCTAATATTTTAGAAAAAAATCATTTGCAGGCTTTTCAGCCTGTTACACATGTACAGCATCAGAAGACAGAATTCCATTTACCTCCTGAATCAAGGACGGGACATTCTCTTTAATAGAACCCAGTCTGTACTCCTATTGCCTTTGGCTCTTTGTAAATGATGGTCTCATTTGAATCTTTTATATTCATTTGGAGTTTACAGGTTGCAAGCTTTGCTTCTGGTGCGAAGAGCCGTAGTCTCTCAAAAAGCAAAGTTAACTATCATCTGAAACTCTTGTCGCCTAAAAAAGGACCTGGAGCCTCCTCTGTAACTGCTGCACTGTTTTCCTGGCAGGCTGACAACTTCATCAGAGAAGCCAGCCAAGGAGTCTTTAAAAGGAAGCTGTGCACACAGGGAGCAAACGCATTAAAAAGTTGCTGACGGGCATGAAATGCTTTGATGTGAAGATGGAAAACTCCAGAGCAGGAAGGATTTGGGGCATTTTGAGTCTGATTGACTCTGTGGTTTCTCAGCAGCTATTCCACGAGGCTAAAATAAATGCAGAAATGGTATTTTGAGGCCACAGCTGCAGAGGGGACTGTGACGAAGTTCAATGAAAATCTAGCTGAATAGTGAAGAATTTGATCTTTAAAACCCAAGGAACAGGGAAACATTGTTGCTTGATTTTTCATTTTATTTAAGAAGTAAAAAAGAAACCTCATGTTTTACTTCTCAAAATGCACACGGACCATGGCTCTTAGTCCAGTGGCGGGTTCTATGCCCTTCTCCAAAAACCATTCTATTACTTTAATTAGATTTTTGCATGCTGGGAAAGAAGCAGTTTAGTGAGTCATGTGAAGTTCATGATGAGGCTGAGATAGGCAAGCGTGAACGCACGTGCTATTTTACAAATGGGTTTCTGACCGTGATCAGTCTGTCACAAATAAATGCCATACAAAACAAGCTTCAAGGAATAATGGTTTGTGCCACTGTAGTGATTACTTCAATCACAAGTGCATAAGACGTAAGTTAAGTCTTCTGCCAAGAGTAATGGATAAATAGACTGCGGCTTAAGGGAATTAGGTCTATAGCAGGGACTAAACATGTAGACAGGGTCTCACTATGCCTCCCTGGCTAGCCTGGAGCTCACAGGGTTCAACCTGCTTCTGCCTCCCCAGTTCTGTGATTAAAGGTGTCTGCCACCACACCTAGCAAGATCATAGATATAGATAGCCCTCTGGACAAAGGGTAGGGATTAGAGCGGAAGACCCTAATATATAGAAAAAGAATTATAGCCCTCTGGCTATGCAAACTGATTAGAGCTATAATGCTGAACAAGACACCTTCCTCCATACATCATCCATATAGCACACACATAAAACCGTAAATAAGATCTCAATGACTTATACACATAAAACATAACTATGACTTTTTCAGAAAAAAAATCAAACAATGGGTCTGCATCTAGGTCTAAACAACAAGTGTTAGACTGGGCAGTAAATACATGATTTGATGTAAAAAATAATTGATAAATTATACTACATCAAAATAAAAAGATTTTGGCCGGCTTCTGCTAAGACAATGAGAGAACAAACTAGAGCCTGGGAGGATATATTTCCTAATCGCAAATCTGATAGATGTTTTAGCCTCTAAGTTCTGTTAAAAAAAAAAAACTATTTAGCCTCTAAGTTGTTTTAAAAACTCTAAAAACACATGAAAATTAAAAGTTCAATTAGAATATGGGCAAAAGATGGGAAAAATTTCCCCAAAGAAGATATACAGGAGGCAAATAAATAAGATCTTCTGTCTCTCTACAAGATGCTCAGCATTTTCCTGAGAGAACACAAATATCAACATGACATCATTGCACATCTACCTGGATGTCTAAAATAAAAGCCAGTTGACTATGCCAAATGCTGGAGAAGACAGAGAAACTGCATCACTCAGATGTTGCTAGTGGCGGTATACAACAGCCCACCCACTGCAGAAAACATTTTGGTATTTTTTCTAAAAACCTGAACATACCACTCCCATGAAAGCAGAAATACTAAGCCTTGCATTTACACAAATAAATTATGCACAGGCATTTATGCCAGCATCATTCAGAACAGTTGCAGATTGGAAATGCCTGTGTTCCCACTAGGAGGGCATTCACACTTTGTGCAGGAGCCATACTAATCTTCTCTGTATCATCCCAATTTTAATGTATGTGCTGCCAGAATGGGCATGACATTCATACTTTGCAATCTTACTCATCAATAAAAACCAGCAAAGCACTGCCATATTCAACAGGCAATAAAACTACACTCTGTCATTCAATTTGTAGACTAGTCTTGATATAATAAGCATATCACCATAGAACCTTCATCTGGAGATGGATGGAGATAGAGACAGAGACCCACACTGGAGCACCGGACTGAGCTCTCAATGTCCCAATGAGGAGCAGAAGGAGGGAGAATATGAGCAAAGAAGTCAGGACCACAAGGGGTGCACCCACCCACGGAGACAGTGGGGCTGATCTATTGGGAGCTCACCAAGGCCAGCTGGACTGTGACTGAAAAAGCATGGGATAAAACTGGATTCTCTAAATATGGCGGACAATGAGGGCTGCCGAGAAGCCAAGGACAATGGCACTGGGTTTTGATCCTACTTCATGTTCTGGCTTTGTGGGAGCCTAGCCAGTTTGGATGTTCACCTTCCTAGACATGGACGGAGGGGGGAGGACTTTGGACTTTCCACAGGGCAGGGAACCCTGACTGCTCTTCAGACTGGAAAGGGAAGGGGAGAGGAGTGGGGGGAGGGGGAGAAGAGTGGGAGGAGGGGGAGGGAAAAGGGAGATGGGGAGGGAAATGGGAGGTGGGGAGGAGGCGGAAATTTTTTTTTCAATAAAAAAAAAAATTTCTACAATGGGAGAATGGTCCAGACGGTATTGTCAATGTGAGAGGAGGAAGAGAGGGGTGGTCATATAGGAACTGATAAAAGGCCACGAAAAGGGATCCTTGGAAGACATGTCTGTATATTGACTGTGCGGATGCCTTGATTGTGCCGATGGGTGGTAGATGCTGTCATTGAAGCAAGACAGATAAAACCCACAGCAGCTCTATTGCCTCTTACAAGCGAGTCCACATTTACATTAAGCTAAAACTTTCATTTCCAAATTCTACTTTTTCAAAACTACTGCATCTCATCATCTACTGGGGAGGGGCAACAGCGAGGGCATGCCGTGTGTGTGTGTGTGTGTGTGTGTGTGTGTGTGTGTGTGTGTGTGCATAGATCAGGAGAGTGGTTTTAGTGGGAGTCAGTTCTCACTTTGCCTTATGTGAGGTCTGGACTTTGAACGATGTCGTGAGGCTTGAAGCAAGTGTCCTTATCTGCTAAGCCATAGCTCTGACCTTCAAAAAAAAGATACAGTTCCCCTGATACAAATCGTATTAGAGCCTGTTCAGATCAATTTTGTTAAACCTATGAATGTTCACTGTCTCATACAAGGTGGTAAAACCCACACAGACTACAAAGCCCCCTGTGTCACTTCTGTTTATTCCGTGATCTACACAGAATCCAGAGCATGGCCTCTGACTAGTGTCACAAAGTAACACAATAGGACAGTGGTAGTCTCATTTCCTATAATAGCATGCCGGGGCCTGAGGTAAGTAGGCATCTAGGCATGGAAATACAGTAATAAAGGGTATACATATTCTCAAACAAACTTGAAGTTATTGTACTTCAGGACAGCCTATTAAACTGCACTCCACTGGGATCACATAGTTCTTACTGGTTTTAATTAGCTATGCCCATCTAGAAAGCCTTACTTCCACTTTTTGCTCACTTAAATTGGCCTAATCTCAATTTTAGTGTGTCAGAGTAGATAAAAATATATTGTTTGATCTTTGCTTTGTGACCACTAATAATAACTTTTTTTTAAGAAATCAATGTTCAGTGAAGTAGAGAATGGATTCTAGGAAAATAAAACTGAACTCAAGGCAGATCAAATCAAGTATTGTTCCCTAGCACCACCCTCACCCCATCTAGTGTGCTTTCTGTAAATCACAGCAATACAACCTTATATATTTGCTGCAGAATATTGCTTTAACTGTGGAGAGGTGTGCTGCATTGTGTAGGCTGCATGTGTCTAACTGTGTACAGGTGGGTTACATTTGCTTAAGTATGCAAAGATGTGTTGCTGTTTTACCTTGCCTGCCTAAGACACCTGATTGGTCTAATAAAAAGCCAGGCAGTAGATGGAGAGAAGGGGCTGATGGGAAGAAAGAATGAGTAGGTGGAGGACTCTAGGATCCAGAAAAGAGAGAGGAAGGGAGAAAGAGAGGAGCTAGCCAACTAGGTAGCTACCAGCCAACCAGACACAGAATAGGACATACAGAATGAAAAAAAAAAGGTGAAAACCCCAAGGCAGAACATAGATGAAGAGAAACATGTCAAAATAAGTTATAAGAGCTAGTAGGATAAGCATAAGATAAGACAAGCATTCATAACTTGAGGTAATAAGCCTCAGTATCATGATTTTGGGACTGGCAATCCAAAACAGTCAGCTGCACTTGCACCCAATGTGGAACACCAAAATGCTATTTTACCTTTAATACAGTGGCTACACTTTAAACAACTGGCAGCCCGCTACCCAGGGAATTCTGGAGGGGGAACTCTGAGGGACGGGATTCTGTTCTGCAGACAATGGCTCTGTTGCTGCCAAGAAAAGGTAGCTTTAACTATAAATCTCTATCATCCTAGTAAAACTTGAAATTAAAGCTAGGATGAAAACCTGCCAGCTCAGAGAGTTAGAGTAGCAACTGGCTAATATTCTCTCTTTGCTGGAATTCCTGGAAGCCTCTCTCCTTCCACACAGCTCCAATTAAAGAACCCACGCTAGGTTCCTCCCTACTTCCTGCCAGCTAGTTGATAGCCCCGCCTCTCTGAGCCCAGGTTAATTTTATTTAATTAACACAAACGCAACACATCTTTATGTAGTAAAACAAATGCAGTAAACAAATGTATCAATCTCTGCCTAGTTAAAGAAATAATATTCCACAGTGCGCGCATGCGTGTGTGTGTGTGTGTGTGTGTGTGTGTGTGTGTGTGTGTGTGTGAAAGTGGATCAAGGATTTCAACAAAAGGACTGATACCATGACTCTGATAGAAAAGAAAGTAAGAACATGCCTTAACTTACAGGCACAGAAAAGACTTTTTGATCAGGACCCAGTAGCACAAGCATTAAGAACAACAACTGACAAATGAAACAGGAAAAAATGCTCTTGTACAGGAAAGAACACCATAATTTGAGTGAAGATGAAGCCTAAAAGATGGAGTAAAAGCCCTTACTAACTATATATTTGCAGAGGTTTTATATCTGGGATGTATAAATAACTCAAAAAATTAAACACTAAGAAAACAAATAACTAAATGTTTGGGCCATGGAACTAAACAGCTATCGAATGAAGAAATACAATGTGTTTAGCAGCTGTTGGAGTTTTCTGGTGGAGTCTTTGGGGTCTTATATGTGTAGAATCATATCGTCTGCAAATAATACTTCGAATTCTTCCTTTCCTGTTTGTGTCTGCCTTGTCTTCTTTGCATGTCTAATTGCTCTAGTCAGAACGTCAAGCATGGAAGAGTTAACTGGAGTGGAGATAGAAGGGCAGGGTACAGGAAGGAGTTTAGGGACACATAATTAAGATCTTAGAAAATGCCCTATGGAAACCTACTATGATAGAAGCTTCAACACACACGCACACACACACACACACACACACACGCACACACATTGGTGTTACCCTACAATGGGGGAAACAATACCTCCCCAGACACCATAAGGTATCAAAAAGCCCATTGCTGAATATGGGTTAACTATTTTTTATTTGTCGGTCCATAATATCCCAAACACCCCCTCAAAATTAGAGGCTATTGACATTGCTCTCAGTTACCTCCTAGAACTTGGTGTTATGACACCATTGCTGAGCTTACCAAAGACTTGAGCCATTGAACGTGGAGAAATCAAGCTAATACCAACCTGGAAGCTTCATCCTGACCAACTTTCATATGCTGAAGGGTTCGATACATACTACCAGGGGAGAAGACATCAACAGTATCCCCTTGAAGGAAAACCTACATATTGCAATCATAACTAGTCTACAAATATACATCTACTGGTATAAGAGTGTCATCAGTTTTATGAGAATAACCAACCACTTCAGCTTGAATGTAAAGCCAAGATCCATCGGATGGAACCTAATACCCATAGGCCAAACATAGATCCATTATTCTGATAAAGGGACATAGTAATAAACTACTCCTTAAGTTTTTATCTGTTACTCCGAGATTAGTGTATCCTCTTCATCACAGAAGTAGATGGTGAATAATATAGGGACCTTTAACTGGACAGCCTGCAAAGACAGTTGAGAGTGTGTAATGCCCAGCTCTAAACTGAATATCTATAACATTACAGCCACATCCCTAAGACTCTATGATAATTCCAGAAGAGGGTGGAAAGATTTTGAGAACCAGAGGGAATGGAAGTCTACAGTGAAACATTATCTCCTAGATGTGGCAGCAATAACGTTGTACACATGAATTCACAGAAACTGGGGCTGCATGCACAGGACTTTCACAATATCAATCCAGTCCGGATCCCAGCGTGGATGGTGGAGGGACTCATGAAGTCCCTCTATTTAGCTAAGGATGAGAGAGCATCAGCTTTCTTCAGAAATGTGATCCCTGGAGGATACTGAAGCTAGCCGATCTCCATAGATGGCCCCACACTTATGTATATATACAGCCAGCACTAAATGGACTCAATCAGTAAAAGAGAAGGGGCCTACACGAAGTAGGGAGGAAGAGGAAGTAGAAGGGGTGGCAGGGGAGAAATTTCAGGAGAGGGAATATGGAGTAGATTCATGAATTTCCTGCTTTTTCTCTTTTGTTGTTTTTTACTTCAGGAGACTATGTTATATAGAAATAAAAATTCTTACAAAAGTTTATTGCAAACCTTTCACTGGGTGCATGTGTGTTAAACATTCAGGAAGTTTGTAGACTTAGCAATTTGAATTGAGATGAGAAAAGTTTTTATTCAACTTAGAGGATATTTATAAACTAAATTTACCATGTAGAGCAGCTGGTACATTTTTCTTCATGTATGCTTTCATGCAGAAAGTAGTCAAGTCGAGTTCTTCCGAAAACCAGAACACTTCCTGGAAGATGTAAAGCAGAGTTGACTCTGTGG